CGTTACTTGTTTGGTTAACTTCTGATCTTAGTAAAGGGTCCACTGTGGTGCTCTGCCAGTTTACTTTCGTCGGGTGAGCTGGTCGCCGGGCCAAACCAATAGCCCCGACTCCGGGCAATATTGTCTTCTTTCGCCTTCAGGGCAGTCTCAGGGAACTACACACCATTCGACAAATTACTGTCCTAAACTTAGAATGTGAGTTTTATTTTTGGCTCCACAGTGCTCGTTACCAACTCCGATGTCAATGCTGAAAATTCAAACAATAGGGCTTCGGTTTTGGAGCCCAAGGGCGCAGTTCAATTAGTTACGCGATGAGGTTAACACGATTTCCTACCATACAGCGATGGCAACAAATTTTCTTACTTATTTTTATATAAAACGGCTTTGTGAGAGTGATGCATGAGGTTCTGCCTCAAATTTACGATAAATCAAGCACTAAATTATATCCCAAATTGCAATATGATTTTGAGAACGATTTGTGAAAAATGGAATTCCATTAAATGAACAAATTTACAGTGGTACTAATTAAAGGTGACGCAAATTCGAAAAATATGACATTCGCGATTATTTAAAAAAAATGCCAACAACCTAAAGAAAAAAAATATTAAAAATCAATTATGAAATGACTGGACGATAGCAAGAAAAATCACCTACCAATGCAGTCCTGGTTGTCAATGTAGGATACACTGCTGACGTTTAAACCCTCTCTTTGGTAGACAATCTGCTCTTCCCTGAGAATTCGCTCGTTGAAAAATTGTTGCAATTTTTCATTACAATAATTGATACAGAACTGTTCGAAGGAGTTCACGTCAAAATGTTCTAACATAAAAAACTTATTAGTGAGACCGTCCCTTTTGAAGGCGAATTAACGGGAACAAGGAGTGGGTTATGTGGGGTTAAGCGCATTACTTAATACGATACAGTAAGCATACCAAAACCAGCAATATCCAGGAGGCCGATGTAGGTTGACTTCTTCGACTGGGGAATGGCTCTATTAATCGAGGTGACGAGAAGATCAAACAGTCGGTCGTATATGACTTTGGCAAGACCATCTCGGGCATTCGAGGTCTCCTCGAGCCGAAGTGCAATTGTAAGATCTAGCGTTCCAGTAATCCTAGTTGTCAAGGCTTTAGCCATTGTCGCAGCATCGATGCCCAACAACTTTGACGCCATGTTCAAGGAGGGCTGCGACTGCGATGTGATTGTACACCCTCCTAAAATCCACAGCGGAAGGTGGATATGAGTGTGAACCAGCAATTTGGTGTTATTCATGTGCTGAAAATGTGGTAAACTTAGCTATTTTTAAATCTTTATTCACTATGACAGATAGAAAAATTGGCTTCCAGACAAATTATCCAATTGTGTAATTTGAGCGCTTGTCAACACATCATTAAAGGATTTATACTTCTAACAACCTAACCACATGATTTGAGAGGATTTAATGAAGACGATCGCCATTTCCGAGGTGAATTAATCAGTGTGGAGGAGGAGCAGGAGGAGGAGGAGGTCCAACGTAGGTTCCATTCATCAGAGAGAGAAATCAATATCGGTGAATGACCTACACACTGAGGAGCTGCGCAAATCTCAGGTCACACCTAGAGGAAGTGCGCAGTGTATTTTCATGTATGAAAATAAAACGAATCATCTTGGTCTATCCAGTGTGAATTACAAGTCAGACAGCTAAATTTTTACTTTTACATTCACAGGTCACATTGACGTCTCCACTTTGGGTTCGTAAAATAGGTTGATTTGCTTCTCTTTTTTCCAGGGCTGCTTAATCGTTATGCAAAGAGGGAATCAACAAAAAATGAAGATAGAGACAACAGCCCTATTTACACGTATCTTTTTAACTACACCCTCTTTGACGTCACTAGGAGCACACAAAATCCCATGAGGACTCACAAACTTATTGATAAGCTCAAGGCCTGGTAGAAAGTGCTCATGGCGAACTTTGAAGATAAGAAATTACCTGTCACCCTTGAAAGTCAACCTCAGTGAAAGCGCGTAGAGAAACTGAGTGGGGTAGAAGTAACCGAACACAAGGACTGGGGTCCCAGTCCAACGCGTTTAAGCGGGAAGGGACTTTTGAACGAGAATTATGCAAATTATTACTGGTGCTGTTAGAAGCACATGACATCGAATAGAGTAGCCACCCTACGTGAGTGCTCAATCGCGTTGCCAAATGTGAAGTAATGTGAATTTTGGGGGATGCTAAATGTGGAGAAGGAGTGAGACATAAAATGTGAGTAATAACTTGGAGGTGGCATTGGCGTTTAAAAAATTAGTAAGCAATAGAGAGTAGTAAATTTGTCATTAACCAACCACTTTCTTGATGTATGGGATCTAAAACACACACACGCACACACTCAATCATTGACATCACTACATGATTTTGTAAAGGATAACACACTGCAACGTGTGCCAGGACTCAAACCGAGTGAAAGGCTCGATATGAGTGAATTTGAGTAAGAAAGAAGATTTGAGAGTCGGAGAGGTTTTAAGGCAGATTAACTGTCGGAAGTCAATGTCTCCTCAGAATTATGGGGGCACAGAATCTCTGCTTCGAATGCACAGTTCGAAGCCATCACAGTCATAACACTGAAGTGAGTGAGCGACTTGCGAATGGAATCACTGGTGAACCAAAAGCAGCAGTAGTGCAAGTGGACATCACCAATCCCAAAGTAAACGGAAAGCAAGAATAAAGTTTGACAATGGGCAAAGTTGCCGAGCCACCTGATTATTTTAATAGATTCTGGGTATTAATTAAGATGATAGAGAGAGGAGGTACTACTCGCCCATGATTTGCGCATATTTGTGGTGCTAATCGTTGATCAGAATGGAATACGCTAGGTTGCCTTTGACAATCTCAACCACGAATGATGCGTATGAACTCGGTACTATGTTGAGTACACAATGGCAACGGTAAATGTGGGAAGCGTATTCTTGTGCTCCTACCAACCGATTACGAAAGGTAGTAAGTTCTGCCTTAAGGGGGCGTGTTTCCACCTAAATTAAGACTCTCAGCGAAGCCTTGGATAAGATACAATGCGAAACGCTTCAGGACACAAGAAGCGATGTTTTCTCCACTATTTAAAAGGCATTGTAAATATTTTCAAATCTCAAATACATTTGAAAGAAAACAGATCGTTACTCGGTAGGAGGTACACAACTATTGCATTGAATATGTAATATGGACACTATCAAACAAATTCACTTTGTTCCCTTTGTGAGTTTCAGTGCGATGTAGGCTGAAACAGGGGAAAATGAAAATATTCCCTTCAAGTCAAAAGCAGTCCATTTTCCTGTCCTTTGAAATTAGAGCAGTGAAGGACCACATTTGTTTGCATACACCAGTGAAATCCAGATCTTGGGAAGAATTGACTGAAAGTAATTATGAGTATGGAAAGCACATTTCAGAATGCACTCACCATGAGTACTCAGGGATTCCTGAAAGACCACATTTCCCAGATGCAAGATTCCCGCGAGGATAGAGAAAATCGACTCCTGAGTGGTTTCATTCAGGCCCATTTCTGTCATGACCTTGATCGAAGTCTTAAAATCCTCAAGATCATCCATTTTGATGTCATGCAGAGGTCCTTGGTCCTTATGCTGGGGGACACAACATCGTTAAGTTTAGCCACATGGTGAAGATAACGTAACAGGATTCACTAAAGTTTGTCCGCTAATCCTCGAGGAGCAAATTTGAAGCCTACTCTTACCATCGGGGATGTAACAATCCTGAAGAAGATGCAACCTCAGCATGAGTTTGTTCGTGTGACCATGACAGGAGTCTCAGTGAGGTTGTTTGGTCAGTATGTATGTGCGGGTACACATGATTAGCACAGGGATTGCTACTGCCAACATGAAATGACGACTGCAAGGAATAGGCTTATACGTAGGCAATCGAGCAAGCTTACTTATCTCATAGGCACGTCAAACATCAGGCTTCGTGACTCACACCGAGCGATTCCACATGAGTACTCACGAAAAAGTGACTTACGTCATGACTCAAACGATCTTCCGAGAGCGCGTTTCTGTTCTGCGGTTGAAGGAAATAGCGTGTACAGCCCCGTGAGAGGTACTGCAGACAGAAAAAGGAGTGGCTAAACACAATAGGAATGAAATGGACCACGAGTGAGGGAGAGTAAAGACAGACTGTATGGGAAAGAAGTAGGGAGTTTGTTCAGATTGTTAAGCACAAATGGTTCAAAATTGCTACAGAGTGGGTAGACCTATGCAAAAATCCGATTGGTTACTTGTAGTGATAATGTAATACATAGGATGTTTTTGGTTTTGGTAAAGGGATTACTTAGGTACTTTGTCATTGTACCTCTGCCGATTGGGCTGCCCTCCAGGTCATGCCAGTAACCCCAAGTCCTTCTGTACGTAGACAAAACGTTACCTGACTGATTAATATGTCAAAATGTTAGACTCTATTAGACGGCAGATGTCAGTCACGTGTCTTAAGAGCACCTAAGTACTATTGGGAGAGCCTATTCTAGCATTTAATGCACATGGAATTGTTATAATAATGGTTATAATCAAGTCAAAACCTGTCTGAATGTGCCGCATGTTAACGCCTACAGTCTTGCATGGAAAGTTATGGATAGCGCATATGCACTTCGTGATGCAACTCAGACAGTTCAAATCGCACAGAGCGCGAGTCTACTGTTAAGAATTAATATCTCATGAATAAGGTCAGGTTGACTTCCCTATCCGAAGTGGGGAGATAAGAGAGGTTTCTAAAATGGGTTTGATAATACTGGAAGTCACCAGTTGGAAGAAACAGAGCTCATTCGAGATAGCAAAAAGCTGCAATGGGTAAAAATATCTACGCACCAGAAAGTCATCCGGGGTGGTAAGTCCAAGTTTTTGTCTTAGACCGTTTGGAGCTCCAGCAAAAAGCTGATAAAAGAAATGGAAATTCCTCTCCTCTGGTGACTGGCGAACTAGGCGACCCTTTTCGAGAATGTAGTGCTCCAGAGACCCACCGGAGACCGCATTGTTTTTGTCAAAGGCCAGTTCAATGAATTTGCCAAATCGGGAGGAATTGTTATTCCTCATTGTTTTGGCATTTCCAAAGGCTTCTAATAAAGGGTTCGCTGAAAATATAAACGACTCAATTTTATTGACATTTACATGCTTATTGCATTCCACATCGCTATTCTTTTTATGCCTTCCTCATCATTTAATTGAGGAAAGAATATAACTTGGTTAGAACTACTAAATTTTTTCTCAGGGAAGTAATATTTGCGGCACAAGAATTCCCACGCTTCCTGAATTGACCCAGAAGGGCGGCTATTCGACAACACAACTACTTCATTTTAATGTCAGTTATTAATTTCACAAAGTTTTTCAACAGGCTGGGCCGTTCATTGAAGAACAAGTCAGGTTTGATAAGTCAGTAGGAGAGAGAAGAATCAGGCTTACAGTTAATAATTCTTTGTTCGATGACACCAGCATCAGCACCATAGCCTTCAGTCAAATACCGAAGAACGTGTTTTGTAGTCTCTGTTTTACCCGCACCCGATTCACCACTCACGATGATCGCTTGAGACTCTTTCTGAATTTTCATGTCACGAAAAGCTTTGTCAGCTAAAAGGCATAAAATGTGGACAATTTCGTAGCAAGAGAATTAAATTTCTGCTTAACTAACACGCATAATATAGTACTTCAGAGACAACAGAAAACCAACTTATTGTAAGAAATAGGTATGACGGTTTGCGACAATGCCTCATGGAAAACAGAAACATATTAATGAAGGCCAAAATTTGGTGAATCAATCATCCTGCACTTGATGAACACGTGTGCACCAGTGCATCGGCAAGACTCGATGATTGATAGGAACGGAAACCACGTTTCTTGCATACAAAATAAATGACATCGGCATACATAGACGAGTTATACACAAGAAATAAAGGCATGCAGCACAGGATGTGACCACTGCCTTCCGAAATCCAAACTGTAAAAGGTGGAAAAAGCCAAAAATCAATTTTCCAAAATAGTGCATTGAGACAAAAATGCGAAAAGGTGGATTCTACTAACCAATAGCAAAAGGGTGCGGTGGAAGCGTTCCCAAAGACATTCCCTTGTAAGTCTCAATCATCTGTCGTGAATAGAGTCCTTTGATTTCGTAATAAGGATTCACGGCAATAAGAATATTGGCGACATATGTCTGCGAAGGAGAAAAAAGGCCATTCAAGACACAAAAGATCATCTAAACAACGCTTACATTTCCATAGAATGAACATAAGAAACAAAGAGTGACACCCTGTGAACAAGCAGTGTGACATAAAAATAAATTGCGCTAGATTATCTTAAAAGAGAACAGTAATTCATGAGTCAAAACACCGTTGATTGCGTCAGAGAAACGCGTGCCAAATCGGTATGCGTAACATGAAGTGATCTTTGACATACATAACAATTTGAAGCTTTTCAGAAAAATTACCCAGTTGCAGAAAAATGGAATGAAAATATATACATTTGCAAAAGGAGAAAACCACTCACGTAAATTTTATCCTTTAAATAACGTTGCTTAACATTCTCCAATAGCGTAGCCTCGTTCAAATTAATTAATGCACCTTCAAAAATAAAATTCATTTAAAAACCCACAGTTGTCATCAGGTTGATGATTATGCGGTTCCACCAAAAGAACACCTTCAGTGGGTATCTCAAATGGCTAAAACAAACACAAAATAGTCAGCGAAATTGGAGAATCATTGCTTTATGTAGAACTGAGTTGCGACGTCAGATTTTGCTAAAATTAACGCAACCTGTACTTAGATTATTCCATTGTTACACGTATTCAACCAGAACTATTTAAAAACGGTAGCAATAACGTGCATCATAAAACACGTATTTGTGAAGAAAATTAGCAGAAGACGGACTCACATGACCTTTACCAGAGATAGGCCGACAAGTTGCTACGCCATTGTTGACTTTTATCACCCGGCCCAGTATGTAGCCATCTGTTTCATCTGGCAACCAACAACTCTTACCATCCATTAAGATGAGCAATCAAATTTGGTCCATTAATCACGCTGATGCTTATGCAGCACATAGAAAGTCATCAAGGTTACACGCAAATGGACAGGATTAAAGGGAATCCTAGATTAAAAACACCTATAAAGTCTAGGAAAGTAATAAATCAATAAAAAATTACTTAAATTGAACTGACAATGCTACGTAACGCATGAAATCATAATTAGGAACTATCACAAAGAATAAGAAATTAGAGCATCATATGAGACTGAGATACGCTGTTCTAAGTGCATATTTGTGGTTAAGGCAGGGACCTTTAAAATGAGTGATTTTTGTTGCACTTAACCTGTAGGAGCAACAGAAAAATAAAAAAGTACAAGAATCGTTGGTAGATTAGAAGTTCGTACATGGAGCCAATATTTTTAAAAGTTTTTTAGTTTCACAATTACCAGTTTCCGAATCACATAATGCGTTAGTGCCTTTGTTGCTGTTTTTGATACTTTTAAGTCAATTCTAACACTTTTGCAGGTCACTAGTATGGGTCCTATATTTCATTTACACGTAAACAGAGTTTTTGGAACCGCATCTGTCACTAAACCATTGCAGACATGTACACTAGGTGTCAAAATCCTTTTAATGCATGGGTAAAAGCTCTTTTATTATGTATTGCATACTTTGTAGTTGGTATGGCAGAGTTTTAATATACTGTAAGCTACCTGATCTCCCCTTAGAGCTTACAAACGATTACAGTGTTTCAATTGCATAGCCCATGTTTCGCCTTAGGCACTTTTGTCCGTCCACTTTTTTTTTCACCGCTCTTTCAAATTGCTCCTCAAGGGCGGTTTCTTTGGTATCCTGAGGCTTTTCGTCATTGCTCATGGACTCGTCGTGTGACGTGATAGAGATTCCTATTGAAGCTGCTCAAGAATATGTAACAACTGCAATTGGATTTGCGCCCCTTAATTTATCAGATCTGAGTACGTGGCAATTTCCTTAACTTTTAGTATATAACATATTCACGGACAATTTGTGCGAACTTGTTGAGAAAGTTGTTGGCGAGCTTTACGCTAAAGTGAGTTTTATTGCCTTTGATTCAATAAAAATTAGTATGAAAAGTATCTTACACAGGACAAAGTTGATGCTCTCAAAAAGATGATCAAAATCAAGCTGCAAGGTCAACAAAACGTTCTCTTTGACCAGTTTGATGTCCGGTTTTCTGTCTCAATACTTATTGGTTCTGTAGAATTTTATTATTTGCGACATTTTTAATATTGGTGACGATGTAGTCTTACCGGACGATATTCCTCAAACTACGTACTCTAGGAAGAAGCACGAATGGATTAAGAAAAGTATTGGTAAATACGAACAAAATTTGATGTTGGTGAGTTCCATCGTTCTTCCTGTCCTTTTTTCGTGTTCCCTTTATTTAATGCTATGTATTCTAAATGCTCATGCGTGATTCTGACCATAGGATTCTTGATATTACTGGGACACTCCAGCTAAAAGCAGTTCTGACTATGGATAAGTGGTATAGTCCTGTTTTTGATGTGTCTCCTTTTCACCTCGTCATCGGTTTTCTTTTTCAGCTGAACTTAGTTCAAAAAAGGATCGATCAAGAGCTTGCGAACGTTAAGGTACTGCACGACGACCTGGGAAAGGCCTCGATTATGATAGGAGATGCAATAAAATCTGACTTTGGAGGGGCTTCTGGTGAGTATAGGGTATTGATAATATAGTAGTTTCAAAAAATGTTTTACCTTTCACGGAACTCGTCGAATTGTTTACTACAAATTTTCATTATCTCTGCGCCTTATTTTAGAAATGCTTTATTTTTAGTAGAGGAATTTCGTCTCTCCGTTGATGCTCTCATCCATGGGAGAGAAAATGTCCTTAATTTCTTGAAAGGTTCCGATACCCTTCCATGAGCAATGGTTTGCACGCTTCTATACATGTTAATATATGTAGTGAGTATTGAACTATGATTCTTCATTAAACCACATTTAAATAATATTAATAGATTTGTGGTAAATGCATTTAGGAGGGCAGATGTTTACGTGAAAAAAAGACGAGAAATGAGTGGCAAAACCGGGAATGGTATTAAATGGAATAATACGTTCTACTTCAGCAAATAGCCAATTCAGGATAAGTAGGGTTGAAGAAAAGGTTGGACGAACGAATAATGCGGAGAACCAGTCAAGATGTTTCCAGAGATTTTACTAGATGCGGATAGTCATGCATTGAGACGGACGTGAGTTGGCGGCCTGGTGGGCGGTGGAGATGCTGTCGTTGGTAGTGGCAGTAGGGGTTGTTGACAATGGAGGCGTGTGCTGACCACTGAACACTGTTTGAGAGTGGAGGAAATCAGATGTAGGATAATGGCCACCTCGGAGTCGTGTGCAGTACAAATGCGGTCTCATCTCCGGATTCGGCGAGGTGAGTGGAGAAGAATGCCAGTCAGGTATGAAGAGGAGGAAAGTGAAACGGTGGGAAAGGTAAGAACTTTTGGATTGGTGGCAACGAAAGTGGGATGTGCTGCGGTAGCATCTAGTTGGTCGCCTTTATCATTATTGTCTTCTTTACTTTCTGCTTAATTCTCGTCTTAGTCTGCCTATTCGTTGTCTTTGACTTGGGTGCACTGAAGTTGTGGGAATTCCTGCATTTTTGATGTTATTCCCATTTATTTTTTAATTTTACTTGTTTCGGTTCCTTACTTACTTTGCTGCCTTATATTCTCTTCGTCATTCGTACTTCCCCCCACTTTCTTTACTAGTATCAACAGGTCTGTATCAGTTACACATATATGATCATGCTTAAGCTGTTCCATTCACATGGGGTCGACTTTGAATGTTGCATATACATACAAAAGAATTGGCGATGGTATTTAAGCTGGGATATAAAGGCACACGGATAAGCAGTGCTAAGCCCCGCCGATGAAAGTGATGATAAAGAAGTAATCGGATCAAGTCGTCGCTTCCCACTCATACGTTGTAATGGATGTCGTAAGATGCAGTAATGCCCCGAGACTTCCTTAAAGACGGTGGAAGACAGAATATGTATTGCTGACATACAGTAGGGTCGGGAACTACTGACATGGCTCGGGGGCGAGACGGCTCGGCGGATGTACACTGGAGGGATCCCCAAGTGGCCTGTTACTAAAATCGAGAGTTGAATAAACAATTAACATTTTTCTATCAGATCAGGCGCGATTGTTATCACTATTGTGGAATTTAGTTAACGAATTGAACAGTTTTTTGCTGTGGCAATTTTCCATTCACTTTGAACGTTACGCTCAATTAGGTTTTATAATGCTTGGAATATTGGATTTGCAGGTATAAATGTCAGGTACTTTCTGAATGGCCAAACGCAAATGCTTATTGAGTGGGTTTACTGTCAGGTACATTTAGCCTTAAAGTTGGCCCCTTACAGCCGGTTCATATATGTGTAATGCGTCGAGACGTCTAGATGGGCTGGAGCCCTGCTGCGATGGCCCGGAGCCAATAGCGCTAAATGAAGTACGATTGACGGAGCTCTGAGGGCTCCGTTACCAACACAAAAGGCTAAGTAAACAGTTGAAGTACTTAATGTGTTCTCCCTTCTACTCCTGATATTCGATTAGGCAACCGTCAATTTTTCCGCACATCAAAATTCATAAATTCATTATCAAAAATGCAATAAACCCGAATTTATAGTTGTGATTCTACATATAAACCTGGGGATTTTTCGTTTGTAGGTCCAACTCACCTAAATTCACGCTTAATGTTTACTTTTCGATTGTATACCAAATAAAATAGTCTTTTTCTGTCCTCAGGCAGCCTTAAGCCTTAAGGTCTGCTATTGCTCTGGCCTCACTAGAGTCAAAGAGGGCATTACATTGACGTCCTTCTAGTCTGTCCAGGGCCTGCTAGAATGAAGCAAACATGATAGGGAGAAGGGAAGCTCCCAAAATTTTGAGGCGTAACGCAGGAGTCTCGACATTAGGGTGTTGGGGTTGTTGTCTGTTGCGGTTGTTGTAGCGCAGGGACGTGAGCAACTTCTAACTCTTCTTCGTTGCCGTGGGGACTCTCGACTGCAATAGTTGGGTGAAAGTTGTGGCAGAACCGAACAGTTATCCATTCAATGATCTTGGCTGGAGGTGAATCACAAGAGGCTTGTTCCGCCAGTATTCGGAGGTTGTTTACGTACTTCTCGTCATCGTCCGCCTTTTCGCAGTTATTAATGACCCCTCTGGCAAACGTCCGTTTCTCCTGGTCGATGACGGGCTGGACTAGTGTAGTGCAGCCTTCTTCCAACTCAGTATTTCTCTAGCCATCCAACCTTATGTCCACTATCATCGGAATCCGTTTATCCTGTACCTTAGTGAAAAAGCCAAATCAAATGTTCAAACCAACCCGCGAGTATGAAATGTGGAACCGTGTACACGATTCTTTCGACTAAATCTAGTATAGGCTAGAACTTTAACTGATCGAGATCTCTTATTAACTGACATCTATGCGCTCGAGCCTGGATCATGTCAAGACGTCTTCGACGCAGCTCTCTATTACCTCAGTGTAGGAGTGAAGAGGATGGGGAATGCCGGTGACTTCAAGTTGTTTAAGTCACGCTTATGGATAATGCTGATTGAGCGTGACCTTATGGCGAGTAGTAGCTTATTTAAAGTACTTCAATGAATGATAAATTTCAAATTCAACTGATATTACAAATACTCGGAAGCAGTATAGGGTGATTTGAGGGATTATGGAGTTTTATGATGCTCAATAGTCTTGTGAAATATGCGAAAGACAGCCAGGAGGACAGAGCTTCTACAAAACCCAACAGGAATGATTCTTGGCGGTGCGGGCGTTTTTAGCTAGCCTCAAATGCGTATGGCTCATTAAGTGTGAAAGTAGGGCCAAGCACCACTCGGCTATCACTGTTTACCACTGCTGGGCAGCCAGCAGCAAGCCAAGTTCTGGAGGAAAGCTTCACCAATCACTCTGAGGCAAATCTTCTTTGTATGCTCTGTTTCAGTACTAAGTCCTCTTTCATCTTCAGGGAGGACCCGGGGCGCTACATTAGCGGCAGCGGAAAACGAACCCCAACTCAAAGGACAAATATCCTGATTTCTACTGTTGGATGATAAAATTTAGCGTAATGGAAGAAGTGCATATGCTGTGGATGGGAGAATCGGTGATGATCCTTAAAAATGGTAGGAAATGGTGTCTACCTTCTGCGACTACCTTAGTCCTGTGGTCTACAGGAATGCTATCAACATCTGGAGCGATACCTGCCGTGAACCGTCTGGAAAAAAGATTTGCTACAGAAGAGTCTATGGCACCTGTAATACTGGTGAATCTCTTTCATGAACACCGCAACCAGAACCCCCTTTTTAGAGCTTAAGGCACATTTTGTGGACTTTTTTCTTCATTTAGTCGAATTATCAAAATTTTTTACAGTAAAAGGCCATGTGAGAACTTCATCCTTCTTCAATGGAACAGTATTATTGTGTGGGAAAAAGCTATGCAGTAAATATTTTGACGACTGAAGCGAAACACTCCGCACCTCCTGCCAAATCGATTATCCACGAAGACTTTTGACTCAAATCAAACGCTACTAATTATTTTATAAGTAGCTTGCGTGATAAAGAGATGGTTTTCTATACTATCGAGAATTATTACCAATAAGCAATTTTTCCTCCCTTTTTTTCGCTCGACAAATTTTGCGCTTAAACTATTAGGTATCTTAGGAATTGTAATTATAATTTTATAATGCTCTTCATTTACTTGCATTTTGAAACTCACATTGCCCATATGCTACTGTGACCAGTGTAGCGGTTGTCGCTAAGCTTCTAGACCCAGAAACCTCCTCACGAATAGCTCAAAAGCTGTAGCACCATCAAATTTTGGTTTTCCGATAGGATTTCTATCTCGTAAATTATTTTAATAGTCGGAGAAGTAATTGGCTTTGGTAATGGGTAGTTTCATGGAAGTACCTACATTACTTGCCCTAGACCTCCTTAACCCGCTCCGGAGACTATGATTTATGTTTAGGTATTTTAAGTGTCTAACAGTTGCACGAAAATGTCTAAGCGAAGTTCGTCTTTGTGGATTAGAGCTTAATGCTCATCGACCTCAGCCATCTCCCTTTTTCAGTTGATTATTTGATAACGAGAGGTTGAAATGCGACTGCACCTACTTCAACTGCTAACCGTAGTAGTTATTCCTCATCATTTTATAATTTGTGTCATACTTCCTGGCAAATTTTGCTATTATGTGCCCGTGTAACTCGGTTCGCTTCAGTCGGTATTGTTTGCAGGAAAAAAAGGGAGAGTGAGCAAGTACTCAGAGATTAGGTAAAATATGGTATTCATTAAGTAATGGAAAGATGAATAATATGTTGATAGGCTGCATGCTCTGGTTTGATACAAGTGAACTGAAATGCATTACAAACTAGAGCCATCTGTCAATGGCCACAGCGGATCCGCGTTCCTTATAGGCTTCTTTAGTGATACAGATCTTTGGGTAGGTTTGTGTGGATGCAATTATCGTCCCACCTATCCACACGGCTTCAATGCCTTGTCTGTGTTTTATCACTCTTTTGTTGATCCGCGGAACAGTTCTTGTGGCGATTCCCACCTGCATTCGCGACGCGGTTCCGGGAAAAGCCGTATTCCCTCCCGCTAGTACAACTGTCTCCAGAACTGCGTAGGCGTCATTCTCCTCCAAACTCAAAGCTGAACGTATTGCCGCTTGATCGATCGGCATGACATCTGCCAGTCCTCCCAAACTCGGATTGAAAAGCATTTCGGGAGCTAGGGTCAATTCTTCACCTAAAGTAAGCTTCTTTCCGTCTGGCATGGTGACTACAGTTCGTGTATTGCCATTGGATTTAGGAAAACTTGAAGCCACGGAACAGTAGTTGACCTTGACATGGCGTAGACCAGCCTCGTTGTAGGCGGCAAGTTTATCTCCGCTTAGGTGTCGCAAATACCGATCGATGTTTCTGCCGCCAAGAGGAAGAACTCGTTCGCTTTCTCCTAAGGGGTAGAGATTTTTGACCGCGAGGATTCCTGTATTGGAGTAGCCAGAATCAACAACGAGACAGTTGGAATATCCAGAAGAGTAAGCGGCTAGAAGTGGCTGGATAACGTAAAAGACTGAATGGAAGTCAAAGTTCTCAAAAAGCACCTCCGTCAATCGCTTCCGATAGGTGTCCGACATCTTCTGCGGAACAGCAAGGAGAAGGTGAGCCGACTTGGAGTCCGCCCTTAGACCAGTCAAGCACTCTTGAATGTGTTTAGTGTAGTAGGAGACGGCTTTATGTGAGCCCTTGAATTCAAGCACGATGCCATTTTCGACCACCTCCGACTAAGAGAAACGACAAAAAAGTTTACTTGTTTCCAGCCTGTGGTATGGTGTAATTTACCTGGCACGTGAATACACCTTATTCTCGCATGAAAGCCTCCCCTTACCGCTTTGTCGGCACATCAGACCAATGAAATTAACATTCGTGCCAAAAGTGACAGCTCTGTCAGCCCTGTTTGGGGAGGTGTATTTACATTGCTTAAAGCACGTGAATGCATAAAATCAAATTACTTTGGGATTGGTGGCACCACTGAGATTGAAGGGGGCTTTTTTGAGTAGGATGGGTTAACTTTACCACACTTTACTATGTTTGTTAAACACTATACTTATCAACCGGAAATCATGGTCTTATGGTGGAAATGGGCTTAGGCAGAAGACTTACACCTTCCAAGTTCTGTAGAGACGGCACGAGAGTGACTCCTGGGTAAGGTTCATTTGCGAAACCGGCTCTCCACTCCTGAGTGCCAGTGTCGATTACAATTGGAATAAGAGAGTCACCCATTCAGTCGAAGTTGGAAAAGGCAGATTTTAGCTCAGAAGTTTGACTCTTTGCTACCAGATTAAGCCGGGATGCTAACGTGCTGCTTTTTGTAATTGCATTACACATCTACCAACCAGCCAATCAGGGCTTTGGTGCCTTGCACACATAGGCTCATTTGATTTGGTGCTCCGTGATTCGACAACCACGAAACCATGGTGACTTTAATTATTGTTATTGAATTTATCAATTCATGTGACTTCTGATTTGAATAAGTACATGAACACCAGGAGAATCACCAAGCATGGATTGGATCAGGAAGTAGTGACACAAAGCAACGCCGCATTAAAATCCACAAACTTTTTTATAACGGTAATTCAGACTAATCTGGCAGTTTTGGCTGCAACTTTCACGTATAAAGTTTCGTCCGATGACGACGATCGCTGGAAAGCCTCTCTCCAGATAAAGTTAGGGTGAGATCACTACCCTCTTCTTCAAGGTGAAGGTGCGCAAAGCATCACTTGACAGGGGATTGGCTAGTTGGTGAATGTGTAATTAAGCTATACAAGCTAAATTTCCATTTCTCCGTGAGGTTGGAAATATCTTCATTGGTATAGTTGTGCGTGTGTGCGAAGTTTCTGCAGACCGAGAATAGGCAGCCTGTTTAGTAAATAGCGCGCATAAACAACTGCTCGAATTGTGAGGAATAAAATGACTGCATAATCCTTCACTATGGCGATAAAATCGCGTACTGTTTAGCCCTACTATACAATTTTTTTCCTCCATTCTAACCTAATTAGTCACATGATGGGGGCGAGTGAGTGTCACAGGAGGGATAAGCTGCGTAAACTACCTAAGTCTTGCGACTTTAGTGAAAAACCAAGCCCCAAATACAAGACGATCAGTAAAAATGAAAATTCTTTGTTGTGCTTAGTCGAAAACTTAGTAACACAGTAATGTCCTTGTACATTGACACTTTAAAGAATTCAGATAATTTACGAGATCGAGAAGTTTCCATGAGAATCTTACTATTTTTTAGCCGCGATTTTTTTCGCAGATCTGCAAAGTGTGCGAACTCCACGAAAAACGCAGCAGAAGTATTTATGTTTCTTCTTTGGAGTAATTTATGATTTTTTGTACTCTTAGCTGTACCACAGAAATTATCGCAGTGCACTAACTTAACATTCACGTGAAAATGAAGTGCTTCGGGAGCATGATTAGGGTATATTAAGGGGTAGTTAGTGGCATTCTTAGGCATTTGCGACTCCTCACCTCCGAATGTTCGAGGTATTCATCGTAGACATTGCCGGGTGAAAAATAGCCTTTTTTAAATTTTTTGATCATGATAAGCCGATATAAGGAGCAGGTAAAAGAGTAAGTCTATCTTTATTTACGAGTGTCGGGAAGTTTTCGCGCTGTTTATTTTATACTAGCTGATATTGGGTGCATATTCTAAACTTACGTAAACGCAATCTTGCAAAATTTAAATAGAAATGAATTTAGGGGGAGTATTGAGTCAACAAACTGCTCCATGGATGACATGAAGTTGCGGAACGGCAATTGTAGCGCTTCAAGAGTTTGTTCAGCCTTGTATTGGATCTCGCAGGCACCTTAGGCCCTGCAGATTGCATTTCCGCTAAGCGGAATGGCCTTAAGGCCAAAACATTAGCTTCTCACCCCTGCCCTACATTCGTAATATTCCTTTTTTGTTGCACTATTGTAATTTTTAAGGGTTGCAGTACGTGCTCGTGATTCGGCTAGGCTGCCTTTTTGATTTGTTCTGAATTTTATAGCGAGGACTTCTTTAAGCCTGTTTAAGGGATTTCAGAAGGTTTTACTATTTGCTTGAGTAAAACTTTAGTTTTGGAAGCATTTGTGTGCAATGCTGCAAATCTGCATATGGTGCTAAAAAAATCAACAGCACCTAAAATTCAATGGAAGCAAATTTCCAGCATTAGGGTAGAGTATGAGGAAGATTTACATTGAACAAATATCTGGACGGGTCTGGCGTAGACTTTGCGTTCTTGAGCATCGACGGTCATGAAATGACTGTGGAGCTCTTCATCATGTTCTTTATCATGAAGCGCTTATTTGGCGGAGGTGGGCACTGAAATAAGATAGCATTTGCAAGCAGCTGAAATATGGCTTGCTATAGCATATAGCAAAAAACGAAAAATTTGTGCTGCTCTTTGCCTTAATATAACTTTTAGCCGAATAACCAATAACACCCATTACGTTGTTTATATCACCAAACTTATTGGTCCACGCTCGAAATCCCTTTCGAGTGACGTATAGCAGGGTGGCTTCGAGGTAGTTAGTCTTGTAGCGGGATTTATGCGCTTTTTCATGTAACTGATTAGACGTCATTATGCTTTTTGTCATCTATCTCATTCTATTATGTACGCTTCAATTTTTGCATATCTTTTTAAGCATATAAGTTAATGATGCCTGCGAATATTCTGTCACGGATTTCCTGGGTACGAACAGATCTCCTTAGTCTTTTTACAGAAGAATTTTGGTGAAAAAATTGGGTTCTTTTTTACTTCAACAAATGGCATGCTTCTTATCTAATGTCCGGAACTGACTTCTTAATTCTAGGGCTCTTCTTCTGCTCCATTGGAATTGTGATACAGTTCCAATTAGTTAACCAAATCTTTTTATAGTAGTGAGTTAGAGTTTTTACTTTGGCTCGTCTCCAAGGAAGTAAAGCGTCACCGATGGCTAAGCATAGAAAAAGGCGGGATTCTCAGAACAGCAATGGCAATATAGATTACGGGAGCGTTCGGGTTTTACCGAAGGTGCAGTTTGCTTTCATGCCATATAGCAGAGTCCAGGGTCTGCACAATCTAGGGAACACATGCTATCTTAATTCTACGCTCCAGTGTCTCTCCCGTGTGTCCGGACTCAAGGCTTGGATTGATAAGCTCATGTACAACGGAACTGTAGGCTTTCTAAAGCGGTTTACCGATGGGGTGAGTTGACCAATTAATTTTAAACTTCTATTTACACAGAGAATGACGCTTTGCCTCCTCTTCAAGGGAGATACCATATCTTTGAAATTGTGCCTTTTACCCCGCAACTCGCCGTTGTCTACTGCTTACAGTACCTTCGTCGGAGAATTGATTGGATCACAAAACACGCGGCCTTCTATTAGTCCTAGGGCACGTAGTTTTTTCCTAATAAATGTTTATTTCCATATATAAAGATTGTTGGATATTTGAACTCTCCTGATCGTAGAGATTGACTGGCACACTTTACATAACCAAGGCAGGTAGATTTAATTAGGATGCCGTATCCACCAACTCTAGCAGTGACTCTACTTTCTGGTGTTTCAGACCTACTGCCTTGGAAATAGCTAGATACATGGTTAGTGGTTGTTTTGATCATGTTTTACCTGCATCAAAGCATGGCTAATTTGTGTAGGATTGGTGTCTTTCTAATCCACTGGATTTGTGAATAAAGGGACTCAAGTTGCTTCAAAAAGACCAAGCATTTTAACATTCAACGTTTCTTCCAGCCCATTCTTTCGGAGCTTGTCAAAACGTACCCACGCTTCGGCAATTTTGGTCAGCACGACAGTCACGAGGCGCTCCGATATCTGTTGGACGGCCTGCGACTAGAAGAGTTGAAGCTTTGGCAACGCGCCATTCTGGATGAACTAGAGTGCACCTCCAAAGTATTCGAATCAGCTTCATAAGATTGTTTTGGTTCTGTCTCAGAACTGGCGCTTATTTGCTCCTTTTTCAGTCTACGGAGGAGACAAAAAATGAGGTGCGTATTTGGGGGAAATCCACCAATCTCTGCACCACAGTGGATAGAATGTTCGGTGGTGTTTTGCTTACCTCCTTGACTTGCAGTCAGTGCAATCACATCTCTTTGCACTTTGAAGTCTTCTTGGACCTTTCACTGCCCATCCTCATTGATGAGGGTGATGCAAACCAGTATCGCCATCATAACGGTTAGTCGGTGGGGTTTTGAGTGATTTGTGACCGAATAACCACCTAGCTGGGCTTACTGTTATTGTGTTTATTAAAAACCGAGTTTCGCGTTTTGTTCTTACACTCTAATCAAAATTTGAAGTAAAACGCGGAAAGGTTACTGTTAGCTCAGCAGTACTTTTCGGACATTCGTCCAGAAGAACCATAAAATGCATTATCCTTCCCTTGTTCTGCGATTCCAAAGTCTTTGACCCCCTTTTTAAGGAATGTGATGACTGATAGTGATCTTTTCAAGTCTTTTAAATCCTATTTTTGCAGTACTAATTTTCGTTGTGTCTATTTCCCGCAGATTTGAAATCCAAGACCAAACGTGAACTCAAAAAAGAGGTACGCTTTTTGAAAATCAGTCTGTTAATACCGTCACTACTGAATTGAAATGTGACAAATATCTCATGGAAAGGTTGACTTCATCATTGCGTCTGTTGCTAATTTGTCCCCTACGAATGTGCATGTGGCTTATTTCCCGAATGGAATGCATTTCTTGAATAAACGGTTCTCCTTGGTCACGATCCTGAGTTAAGAGGGATTGTCATTACCATAATGTTTCTGTCGCCTTTTTTAGCGCAAAGCGAAAGGCAAAAACAAGAGAAAGGACAGGAACCGTAAATGCTTCGAGCAGATGACTGAGGACAATGACGGCATTGACTACGATCAAGTAGGTTTTAGCGTGATTCACTCTTCTTCTTGCCAAAATCTACCGAATACAATGGGGTGGGTTGCTATCTTAATATTGGCGGGCAAAATTTATTTATTTATTTATTTTTTTTAAATTAACGATGATTTCCTCTTCAGAAAGGCCCCAATAAGCAGAAACAGCGTAGCAGTAGGAAAGGCAAGTATAGCAAATGGTCTTTGGATGAAGAATGCGACATGGCTGATGAAGAGGAGAAACCGGAGGAGGCCTTGAATGGCGAAGAGGAGGCCGAAATGGAAGAGAAGCAATTGGACATGAAGGACGATGCATCGTTGACTCCACAACATACCCTTGAGAATGGCAAATGTGACCATGAACTTTCTGACGTACTTCAAAATGGCAGCAGTGGTGGTCTCCCATTATCGTCTTCAGAAAGGGATAGTCTGGAAGTTGACATAAAAGTTACTTCCATTGAATCTACCGTTAGCGTGGTGGAGGCTTCAGCAGCGAATAAAGTGAATAGTAAGAAAGATTTTCAAGGAGGTGAATACGATGACGGCAGTGAATCATCTAGCCTCTCTCTGAATGGTATTAATTGAGATTTCCACGATTTGCATTCTGGATCTTGAGTATTCTTAAACCGGAACTTATTTTTGCAAAATCTCTAGGTAAAGATGACATAGGCAAGGGCAGGGATTCGCGCACCGGCTCCGTGTCAGCTGGTAGGTCCTGAGGACTCAACTAAAACTTAATTTGTAGTCTTCCTTTTGACTCATCTTGATTTACATTCATTAGTATACTTTTCAGCGCTTTTATTTGGTAGTTCTAATTTTGCTGAATTTTCCCCTTCCTAATATTTAAAGTTCTTTGGATGTTTGTAAACGGGTCACGTCTATGCATTCAATGCACAAAATGTACTGGCAAATTGTGAAACAAGCTTTCAGTCGTTCACTCCATATTTTTCTGCTCCCAAGCGCCAATTAGGGTGTTTGTAATCCTTTCAGGAGAAAGTGCCGATTTGGAAGACAACGTTGACGATGTCAACAGTCGTCTTTCGGATGGATCAGTGCTCACGCTGCCAGTTTTACCGGATCCAGAGACGTCATTGTGTAAGGACCTCGGTACAAAGCTGCGGCTCTCCTCGGCTGGCGACGAGACGACGATCGCACAGTCTGACGAGGAGGAAGAGGCAAAAACTATCTCTGTTTGTCCGATTTTGTCCACACCACTCCCTGGCCCTACCGGCCTTGAGTGCTGTCTGGCCAAGTTCATTGAGGCCACGGAGTTGATTGGCGACAATCAGATGCTCTGTGAACGATGCTCGAAACGAGATGGTGGTGACTCTGTCAGCAGTGAAAGTAGTAACACGGATGGTGTTCGTTGTGACTCCGTGAAACGCGATCTCATCATCAAGCCGCCACCTGTGCTCACATTGCACCTCAAACGCTACTTTCAGGTGCCCAGTCCAAATTTGCCATTACGCCTCTAGGTCAATGATCGCCCTCATTTCACTTGCTTCAGGATAGAGGCCTTGAGACCATTTCATATCTAGAATGAGGGATAAGCTTTAGTGCCGTTATGGAATGCCATCAAATAATTTAATTTTTTGGCAAAATTTAACTTGAGGCTGCTTAAGATACAAAGCTCTTTTTTTCACTCTCCCCCCAGTTTGATTTGCATTATTTTTGGTAAAAAAATATGAAAATTAATTTGCGTAAATGGGTTTGGGAGTTGTCGCTTATCAAATTGCATGCGTTCTTCCGTTTTTTTAGTGTGGCAATCGACTACAGAAGTGCTCAAAACGAATAACCTTCCCCATTAACCTTGACCTGCGGCCCTATTGTTCTCGCTTGGCTCGGGTACGTGAATTTGTGTGGATTCATTCGATTACCAGAAACTCGTTATTTAAAAATTAGCTAGAGTGCAAGTTTGCCATGGCAAAAACTGTGCTTCTGGGCGATTTTCGACAAACCGCTGGTGATTTTTGCTTTTGGAAACGATGCTCTGGTTAGAGAACAGTTTATTCACTCAACTTGCCCTAACTAACATTTGTAGCCGGTTGTGGTGAACTATAACATTCTTCTACTATAATGGTGATGCAGCAGAGATCTCACTAATGCCATGAGAATAATCTTTATAACTACAATTTTTCGGGTGAGTTCTTGGCGCTTAAAAAGCCAGAGGCGTCTTATTTTGAATGTAAATGCGCACGAATTATAACTTTTTTTTTCATCTGACTTCAACTGCCAATCTTCTGTTTCACTTCTGACTTCGACTCTTCGACTTTTATGGCGGTGATTATACCCATAATACATTATTCCTACATGAAAGGCACCGTATTGTTCACCTATAAGGCTACCAGGGCTTTCTCCACTTCCTGAATCTGTAGTGTCTTGGTTTCAGAATTAGAGTAGAAAACAGTTTTCCCGTTTCTTTTGGCAGTTATCCTCGGGCGAGGGTCAGTACCGTCTCTTTGGCGTGGTGGAACACTCAGGCCAACTTCGCAGCGGTCACTATGTCTGCTACGTTGCGGACGAAAGTGAAATTCCCGACGACCGATTCATCCCGAGCCTTGAAAAACCCGATCCTTGGCCCCTTCACCTCCATCATCTTGTATGCCAACTGCGTCGCGGTGATCAACACGTCATTCACGGCGACCTCGATGGCACTAGCACTGATGAGGAGTCGAAAAACACTGATGCACGCACTTGGTTCCACTTTAGTGATACTCATGTGAGCCGAGTCCCCGTTTCTACGGTTCTCAGTGCTCAACCCTACCTCCTTTTCTATCAACGGATCCGATAGAGGTCTCCTTCCTTATACCAGTCATTCAGAAAATTTCATATTTTATGTGAAAAGTAAATTTCTATGCTTTTTAAAGAAAAGGACGTTCCGAAAGTAATTAATTAAATGGTTGTTTTGTTTTGTCCAGTGGGTTTGGGATTCCTGGTCGGTTGGGATGTTATTTTTACTGAACTATTGTCGATTGGATATAGAAGTGTGAAGATCGTAGAAATTAGGAAAGTCTTTGGAATCGTCTTCATCAAGAGCTACAAAAAACATCAAAGTGTTATTTTGTATGTGGGAGAGTAATTTTTTCAAGGGATTTGGTTTAGGGCATTACCTGAGGTCTTGTCCAGGGGCTGCTTACTCATGACTTCTTCGGTTTGCTTATGCTGCAGCAAATAAAACGGGGGTTCAGCGTCCCGTGGTGTTTGCTTTGGGCGCTCAATTCAAATAAACCATGATAATACGAACGTCTCCGAATAGTGGCTCTTTGCTGCACTCGATAGATACCAAACGTAGATTTGGAGGAATTAAAATTCCGCTTATGTGTAGATTCCTTACACAAATATTTCTCGTGGGGCAAACAAAAACGTAAATAACCTTCTGATTGGTGACTTGTTTAAGGAGGGACTTGGGTAGCATTGAAAAGTACAATGGAGTTATCACTGAATAAAAATCAATCTAGAAATTTCCTGATTGGAGTCTCCAATGCCTTCAAAAAATAACCGCATATGGGAAAGCTGCCTTGAGGAAGAATGATGTTTGCGAATCATCCTTAATGTACCTTGTTTTTTATTGTAAATGGGTGATATATTTATACGTACTTCTATGAGTCAAATGAGATATGTGACGATTAGCTGGACGTTAAACAGAACCGATACTTGATTCAGGATCATGGATTTTGAATTTACCTTCATAAACCTTGACCTCGAATTGTCTGTGAACACAGTGGTCACCGAACTTGGTGCTCTGAAACTAAAGAGTCTGGATCGCACCACACCGGCAGAGTTGTGTTTTCCATTCTGTCCCCTGGCTTTACGATTTGCTTTATTCTTCCGCTTTGTATTCTTCTTAGTCTCCACTTTGTTACTGTTGTCACTTTTCTCCTTTTCCACCTCCGCCTTTTCTAAGACAGCCTTTCCTTCACTTCCTTTCTGTTAAAAGATGGCGACTTTTCAGATAAGTTTGACTTCACTATTTACAAACGGTGTTAAATATGGGTGTGCCTGAGACTACAAAAGACCATACCGTGCATTTTTTTCAGCAGAAACGAACCGTATAACATCACATGTTCCTCATAGTGCCTGTACAAAAATATGTGCTTATAAACGCCTCGTGTGATTCATCCTTGAAAGACAAACTAAAGTGCTTACATCTTTTAATTACTGTGATACTAAACGTTGCATTTTGTCGGGAGAAAACGTAATCAAAATATACCCAAACAATCTTATTAAACCTACTTCGCTGGGTTCTTTGGTAAAATAGCCTAAAATCGAAAACATTAACATTAACGATAGCGTAAGTCTAAAAATACAGAAGTGCAAAATATAACAGGGCAAAATAGAACATTAGCAAATTACAAACATGAGCCTCATCCCAATATTTTACGTTTAAATTGATCATGTAACAGACGAACGTAAAGAAATAAAATAACAAGCCTATTAGGAAATTTATAAATGACAAAGATGAAAAATGACAAAGCCCGCAGTGAATGTGCAGATAAGAACCTCCAAAAAAGCCTTATAAAATGAAACCATAAAACGCTTAAACGGAACAGATAGTAGACAGATCTAAACGTACAGCACACTGGTTGTAATACTACATAGTGCCCCTCCGAGACCGGTCCATAACACAGTGGCTGAATAACATTAAACTGGGGATTTGATGTGCAATCAACAGTAGGCGTACAGTTTGCGGTTAAAACCTGACATTGTTGCGGTTGTGGGTTCACCTGTTGACTTCCAAACAAAAGATTAGGGTTGATGTTTCCATTCTCAGGAGGGGTGGCAAGGCACATTTGTGGAATGACTGATGCTGGAGTTGAGGAGTTGGATGGACAATTAGGAGGCTGCGCGTAGATGTTGCACAACGGAACGGGCGTAATCGTCACCTGAGCTGGCCAGCTAGAATATGGTTTAGCACAGTTGTTTACTGGTCGGCCAGACAATGTCTCAAAGGGGAGAGTGGTGCTTTGGTCTAGACGAGTGTCAGAGAGTGGGCTGACGTCTTCGATCTCACGATCCTTGGGATATAACGGGGACTGTGTTTGATGAATCAAGTCTCGAATTGGCGCAGAACCCTTCCCAACTGAGGGATCCATGTCCCACGATAACCTACAAGTGAAGATAGCCCATAATGGCTCACAGATTTAGCTAAAATTTAGAGAATTATTAAAAATGTCCAAATTAAAGCAAACCAGGCCCAAAAGTTTTATTACTGCCCTGAAAACCTTTTTTTGATACTAAATCCTTTAACATTTCAAAATCTGACAAAATGAGAGAACAGTGGCAGACAGTTTTAGCCTCATTTTAACAAATTCGAGAGGTTCAAACAAAACCTGAAAATATTACAGCATACAGTACTTATAGCTGACTTTGTAGGATCTAGTAAAAAAGTCACTTTAAGTAATCACGATTATCAGACAGCTAAAGCAAAAGATTTTTGTGCCAGCATTCAATTAACTAACTAAATTGTGAACAGCAAATAAAAATAAATGGTGGGACCTTCGTACTTTAATTGTACGGAACTCACAGCACTCCAGCAGTACTTGCTTAGCAAATTGAAAAGTGGTAATGAAGCTGTGGAATCCTGTTTCCGTATTTGTAAAAACAACCAAACCCACGATAACCGAAAAATACGTGATGGTTTGAAAGTCAGCGGCATTTGTCAAGGTTGGTCAAAGAAAATTATAGAATTGGACCATGAAAAAAAGCATACAAATACTGGACATAAAAAGATTAAAACAATACCCCTTAAATATATCTGTAGGCATTTCACCATTGGTGTTAGTCTCATTTCCCAAAAATTTGAGAGTGGAATGTTTAGTTTTCAATCGATTTATCAAAGATCGCTTCAATAAAACGCACAAAACATTCTGTTATAAAAACTTCGCAGCTTTGTTTTTAGGTTCCTTTTCTTTACCATTGACAATTTTCATGTGCTCAGGATCCCACCAAAAATAAATCCAAAATTTTTTCTGCATAGAAACTTGCAAGGGAACAAGCCGATAGTTGTTTAAGGATCTTTTGTTTAAACGTCCACTAAGCGGAAAAAGATAAGGACTTCTGTTGAATGTAAAATATATATTTGAATTTGGTTCTTGATGTCCTGTTGTTTGCTTCGTTTATTTTGCCTTAATTGTTTTGCTTACCTTTTTTGATTGCGGCAATGCACTAGAATAAGGGCTATCCCCGAATTATGCGTGATCAGTGGCGGCTTTGGTCTATTGAAGCCCAGAACGCGTAATCCGGTTTCAAGACTCAAAAACCAAAGAACAATATGAGTCGCCCTGGATCTTATCTAAAGTTTTGAGATGTCTTTGTATTATAGCAGAAAACGCAACACTGACGAACGAAAAAGCTGAGGGACTGCTGGGGTGGCTCGGAGACCACGCCTTTGTGCAAAAGATCTACACATGCCGACGCAAATAATTGCAGAGTTAAACAAACTACCAAAGCGTTGCACATCCCCTCTCGAATTCGATCTTTTCTTGAGCACTTTCTTGGTCAATCTCTTGCGTCAGTTATCACAAAGCAATCGGTGTTGTAAAATACCCACCGGCCCACTGCATTAGTCTCCAAATTTACATGCAATTGACTGCTGTATCGCTGGTTTTCTCCTAGTAACTGCACTGAATCCAAAGCTCCCTCCTGTTTAAAGACTGTATTGTAGAAGGGAGAACGTTTACCATCACACATTTCCGTTTTTAGTGATAAAAGTACCAGCCCAAAAGCTTATCATTTAGCAAAGGACGAAACTTAAAATAGCCTCGTGGGGGTAGGCTACTGCTCCTCTTCATTCTTGCCACTTTATTCTCAGTTCAGTGCTACATCTATCTGGATTCTATCCGGACAGTAAAAAGTTGGAGCAGGTATCGCTTGTTCACTTTTTTTTTCGCTTTTTAATGTCCCCGCATAGATACCGTAGAATGCTCTGCAACGACCACTTCCAGATGGTTAGCCTTAGTTGTTAGCATTCCTTCAGAACATGGACTGCGCAGCTACCAATTGTAGACGTCATTTTCAACCATTCTATTAGGGGCCGTCGATTTTGTCAATTTGTGGCATGTGATCTTCTTCCGTCATGATAAAGTTTAGTGTCCAGTAACAGAAATAAGGGTAGTTGCCCTTTACGACCAGGCTCGCTATTTACTACCACCAGTATAGCTCACAGTCTTTCTTGAAGACAAAAGAAGTCATAACACGATTGCAGAAAATGTATTTTTGGCGTACAAAAGGGCTAATGCGCCCTTTAATGCATCTCCGCCCGGCGGAGATACAATGGCGGTGACCCTAAGTGACCTGTGGGCCAAACGACTATTTAAAGCGTTTCAGTTGTGTATACCCACATTGATGAGATTTCAAAAAGCTTTTCTTACAATTGTTGGAGCAGCCACTAGGACATGAAGCACTCTCGAGGTTATATGCATGAAAGTGGGAAACAACGTAAAGGAAAATTGAAGGCAAATCCCTGTCTTCTCTATTTAGGCAAGTTCTTTTCACGAAAATATTTTATCATTGGGGGGGGGGGGGAGTTGGTACAGAGTAATAAAAAAAGTTTTTCGAATTTTTTAATATTGTCAACAAACCCAGATATTTGGTTTGATTAGGTACCATCCCTCTATCACCAAAGGTCATTTGGGTCTTTTGTTTTTGCTGTCACATGTACCCATTTGGATTAGAAAGGAAGGAAAGGAGGCGGTCATATTGTGGATCAAACGTATTTTTAAAACGGTCATCTTTAAAAAAGAGGTCCTTTTATCTAAAGGATCGGCAATTTTTACCGCTTTCGAGGGCCTGACAGTCTCAATCATAACGGAGCTGGCTCCCAACGGTCACGAGGTGAAAATAGGCTGCATGTTTGGCAACATTTAATACCGGCTATTTTTACCAACAACGTCTTGCGTCGATCCCCCTTCGGTCAATGAATTATTTTGGCTATTGAAGTATTCAAAGGCACAAAGTAGAAAAATTAGAAATTAGCAAGTTTGGAAGCCTCCTGGCCGGTGCCCCGCAGTGCACCAGTTGCAGCCAAAATCCACGAAATAGCATTTGCTTATGAAGTTTTCGTATCTACGGTTGGCATCAAAGAGGATTCAGTTATATGCCTGGCTGGTGATTATTCGCAGCAACACCACCTTTTGCAACACGCAGCCATCGGCATGACTCCCCACCTTCTAAGGGATAATTACATGGTCCCAAGGATACACTTAAGGTGTAACAAAAAGCAAGTTTGGCCATAATTTTACAGAAATGCTTTTTTAAAATACTAAATGAGTCATAAGCAACGGGCTTATTTGGATCTAAATTTTATTTCTTTGATATAAACAGTCAAATGGGATTCGCTAGGCATATTTTGCTAGTTTTGATGGATTAAAGAACGAATTTTAAAAACTTGTCTTTATAAACAAGAAACACCTCAGAACTTTTTATTTTAGCTTTGATTTATGTTTCCTAGATGGGCGATTGTTGTAAAAATATGGTCCACATCACGCGATGTTGAAGCTCAGTTGCTTTCAGAGCGGTTAAATGGTTATTCATTGTTATGTCAGCCGAAGCTGCTTGACTGGGTCTGTCAACTTTAAAAATAAGAAAACATAGCTTTTCTTACCTATTTAATATTCCCATTTGATACAAATAAAGAGGTGTAATGAAACTTTGACTTTTACACCCTTAGTGGGTTTTCGTACCACTCAAATTAATGAAGGTATCAGTTCAGGTGTAGCGCCTTGAGACAATACTAGGGCAAAACGTGTATTGTAGACCTAGAGGTAGGCTAACAGACTACTGGCATGGCTCAGAGACTGTGGTGCTGGGCAAGAGTACGATGGTCATGCCCTTCAAAGCCCACAAAACCGAATCCAATTTTTTAACACAACCAGAACATCGACTAGCTTCTCACCTCCCTTGGGCGTCGATATGGACGATACCGATGACCAAACTGTCGCGTCAGCCATCAGAACGTAGTTGGTGCTTTGAGAACAAACACCTTAAATATAACCACGCCAGTAATCAAATTTATGTCCCTAACTCCTTACCACATCGTTTACGCTTTAATTCTGCTCAGCCACACCTTTATGAGGTCCATCCAGCTAGTAGAAGGGTGGAAAAGGCTTCACGTGATCACTGGGCTGACATTCCCATACAAGTACCGTAAACAGCTCCGTAACTTTTTTGGATCGGTCACGGCAAATTCCGCTTTATTTGTTAATAGCATTTCTGTCAAACACGGGACTGGGGTAGATGCTGAAGGTAGTCATCATTTCTAACCCTTCTGCTGCGAGCATTCACCGATTCTGTCATCAACAGCAGATGCTTTTACACCATGCAAAAGGTTTACCTATAAGTGTAAGAAAACAGGATATTTGTCTCTTAGGATGGAGTTTGCTTGCCACTACCACCACATCGTAGAAGCGGCAGATTATTTTGAAGGATTTGTAATATTCCCTTTAAGGGAGTTTGGATTTTTGACAGGCATTAATAAAAAGTTGGGTAATTAGGTCCTTAGAAAGGAAACTAGCTGCAGCGCCTTTTGTAATTGAATCCGTGTTTGCTAAAAAGTAAAGAAAAGCAACATCCTTGTAGTTTAGAGATTTTTACAGCTCCTGGTTGAGTCCAGATTGTCTAACGCTAATTTCAAATGCTTGTAGAACAGTCAGTTTATGGGTTACATTTGATGGAGTTGCTTTCCTTTCCGAACACCTATTTCCGGCTGTACCTCGACTGGTGATTGCGCCCTGGCAGTGCGTCGGTTAATCAAGGGCAACTTAGGCCTTCTGGAATTATTTTCAAACAGTTTATTTTAAGGAATTAGTAGCCATTAATCCTACACAACACCTTTAAATGCTAGTAGTCACTAATTACATTTTCAAGAGGCGATTTATTCATTTGTGGAAAGTTAAGAGGTAAGTAAAATGCAGACTAATTATAAGGGTATTGTCAAGTTCGTCCAGCATTTCAACAATTACAGAGGGGTTTTATCGTTTATATTTAGGTTGGATAAAAAAACAGTCAGCTCACATGTACCACGCACCTAATACTTTACGCAACCACGAAGTACAGCATTTTGAACTGATATTTCAAGTGAGATATAGCATAAAAATTACTAACAATAGAATTCAATTTTGTCCGAAAGTTTGATCACTTTTCCAGCAAACGGGTTATCCAGTGTAGTGTAGTTCTAAATTACGGTGAGGCGATGGCACTACATTGCATTCCAGTGCGGCACCTCGAGACTGAGAGTTAAACAGACCATTGGGGTATTGTACATTATTAACGGAAAGTGGAATAATTTAACCCTCAAAATAAAAAACCGAGTTGTAGCATCCTTTGTTACCGCATTCATAATCGCCACGGTGTATATAGAAGGAGTCCGCGAGTCGTCTAACTGGTATTGAAAGGGAAGCCGTTAAGCTGTAGTTTATACCGCTTTGTCCGGAACTCGTGCTCTATTGTATTGAATTGTCACTCGCATCCTCATCGGACCTTGATTCTGTTCCTTTCAGTATTGCAAAAGACACTGACAAGCGATAAGCGGATGCAAGTAGTATAGGAAGGAATGCAGAGTCATAGATGCGATCAGAGAATGAAGAGCGATTTGAAGGAGAGACGAAAATGGGCAATTACTTTCAAAATACACATTGCCCCATGCTACTGCTGCGGAGA